CTGGTGGCTTCTCAGCCTTCATTTTGTGGCCACTCGGCATCCGTGTCCCTCCCTGTGACAGCCACCCCTGCTCTGTCACCTCCTGCCCCAGCCTGGAAGGGGTGACACCCTTTTCTGCTTTGTACCCGTTGTTCTGGGAGGGGCTGGGTGCTGGCCCAGCCCAGGGGACTTCCCCCAGGATGAAAATAGCCCCAGGAAGACACGTTTTTGTTAAACTGGATCACTCCTGCCCCACAGGTCAGCCTGGAGCCACCCAAACCCTGTCCAGGGTCTGTGGTGGCCACCACGGGCTGTGACAGCCACCAAGGACCTGCCACCTCCTCTCTGCCTGCCTCAGGTCTCTCCCCGGGCACCCCTAGGCCCCTCCTCTGGGGTCCCCTTGTCCTCATGTCCTTCTCTTTCAGGACAAGTACCTGGCAGACATGGACGAGCTCTTCTCACAAGTGGATGAGAAGAGGAAGGTGAGTTGCTCAGCTGGAGCTGCTCCGTGCTACCACCTCTGCCATCTCTCGCCTCCCAGCCCTCTTTCATTGTTGGGGGGGGTCTCCTGGCCCCTCCTGACCCAGGCCCTGCTTCCCTCAGAAGCGGGACATCCCTGACTACCTGTGTGGGAAGATCAGCTTCGAGCTGATGCGCGAGCCCTGCATCACACCCAGCGGCATCACCTACGACAGGAAGGACATTGAGGAACATCTCCAGGTACCCAGGGTGCTGGGGGCTCCCCAGGACCCCTGCCTGGATCCTGCCTGGCCCTGCAGGCAGCTGCCCTGCCCAGCTGAAGCACTCAGAGCTTCCCTGGACTTGGTCCCTGTGACCTGCCCGGGCAGGTCCCTGCGGAGGTGCGGGAAGTTCCTACCAGGCCCTGCCTGATGTGGGAGGGACAGGGGTTTTACACCTTGACCCAGCTCATCCTGCACCTTCCGAGGAGGGGCCCCAGCTCTTTCCAACCCTCCCAGCAGGCACACAGCTGCCTGTCCCAGCTGCCTGTCCCCTCCCCCCGGGGCTGAGGCACCTGGAGTAACCGGTTGTCCTTCCTCCCTGTAGCGCGTGGGTCATTTTGATCCGGTGACAAGGAGTCCCCTGACCCAGGACCAGCTGATCCCCAACCTGGCCATGAAGGAGGTGATTGATGCTTTCATCTCAGAGAACGGTTGGGTGGAGGATTATTGAGGGTCCCTCCCCCTCTTCCAGCTCTGCCTGGGCCTGGCACTTCTGCCTTACCCGTTCTCCAGCTGCTCCCACTCTGCTCCGGCTGCCCGCGGACCCAGCGCTGGGCACGGCCCCATCTCCCCTTCCCATGGAACCAGCAGTTGGATGGGCACGGAGGCTCCCCCTTCCCACCAGCTCCTCACCCATGGAGGAAGCCCTGCCTGGTGGTTTTGGAGAAGGTTGGCTCAGCACGGGGGCCTGGGAGGTGCCACCATCATCACCCAGAGAGCAGGGTTCTCAGCTGCGGCAACCGACAGTTGCCAACAACCCAGTCCTGCTCCAGGGAGGTGCTGGGAGGAGCTTTGCTGGGATGAGCACCTGGTCTGTCCCCAGGAACAATGAATGTGGTTTCCTCCACCTCCTTCTGGGTCATGTCCTCCTGTAAATAGGCCACTTGCTGGGGTGGGAGACCAACCTCCCAACACCTTTGGCTTTTCCTGGGCTGGAAGGGCTTGGATCACACACACACACACCCCCCCAAACCCCCCCACCTCACCTGCCAGGACCTGGGGCCCCTGTGAACAAGTACCCAGGTGAAAGTTCTTCTTCCTTTCAAAGAAAGCCCTTGGGAAAGGAAAAAAAAAGGTTCAAAAACCAAAACCAAACCAAACCCCCACCAGCTCCATGGCT